TTAGACCCATTTTATACGAGATACAGTCGGCCCAAACCATCCGGGCACAAGCCTCCCAATCCTAGTTCACTTCCTGGACCTATGAGCGAGTTCAGAGCCCACGGCACCCACAGATCACCTTCCTATTCGGGATCAATCTCCTATTCGATGTTACTTTCCTGTTCGGATCACTTTCCAACTCGAACACTAAGACAGCTCACCACCGCCCTAATTCTTCTAGGGTTCGCATCAGAGTCACACTAGAACTCCTACTCCCACTAGGATTGGAAGATCAGACAGTCACTATATAAGTAGAGGTCAGCCCTCTCACAAGACACATTACATTACACCTTCAGACCCGAAGCTCTTACTTGAGAGCTTCATATCACTGCCGTAGTCACAATCCCCGACTAGACTTCCGGTAACTTCTTTACTCCCTGGCCCTCACTATATCAGCCTCGTTTAACCTTATTGACTTGAGTGTCGGAGTGCCTATGGCAAACACTACCCCGGTGTTTTCCGTTTGCTTCACGCATTTGTTTCTATACGTGTGCAGGTACAGCGGATCGCTAGTGGCCTCAACCTCACGAGATCAAACCCCCCATTTCGTACAAGTAGATTTTTACGTCTACACACTTCTAATAGACAACACAAATAGAAACAACAAAACAATCACTGATATAAAACAAAAGTTAAAAACATAAAATCTAACAGTAGAAAAAAAAAAAAAAACTAAACAACACTATTCTCCTTCACCGTCCTTCCGGTAGTAGCTGCCACTCCCCACCCACCCAAGAACAGATTAAAAAATTCAAATAAACCCTAAAAGTCCATCATCGACAACCACAATCGGAAAATAATTACAATTAGTTCATTTTTTTTTTTCTCAGAAAAAAGGGGAAAAAGAGAATGAAAGCAGTGGCGAGAAGTTTGTGCGTTGGGATTCTCAAGGAAGCCCAGATGGAAGCGAATTTTATGGCTTTTTTGTTATGTGGACGAGAGAGTGAAGAAGGCGAGCGGCGTAAGAAGAGGAGAGGCGGAAGGAGAAGTGAAGAAGACTGGGATTTAACATTATTTTTCAGTCTTGTTAAGGGTAAATTAGAAAGATTTTGTACCAAAAAACAAAATTTGGCAACGTTTGTTAGTTTCACTGTTTCAGGGACCATTTTGCTACTGAAAAATTGATGTGTCCTGAATTTATTAGCGGTATAACCTAAACGTATGGTATCTACCTCTGATAATACGTCACAACTTTACATATAATTCTGTCAAAGAATATAATATAATTTAAAAAAAATGTTAAAAAACCCCAGTGTTTTAAAAACCAACCCGGGTGAAACCCGACAAAATGGCTGGGTCTCATGTTAATCGGTTTAACCAGTTTGACTAGAAGATCAAACTGGTGTCTAAAGGTTTGAAAAATACTCTTCAAAATTCTATAAATCTCTATAAGTTTGAAATCTTATAAAAACATCTCAAACACCACCGTTGGCGTTAGCAAATAGAGTATGTTTTCGACGACGAAAACACTCCACTCAGCCTCTTGACCAAAACTCATCTCACCCCTCCCACGTTCGCCTTCCCAATAGCAAGCAATAGCAAGCTTTCTTCGATGACATAATTTGACTATTTTCAGTCGATTCATTCATCGGAAATCACCTCCGTTGTTACCATTCCACTCATCGGCCATTCCTCTTCAAAACCTCCGACATTTCAGCCTTCAATTGTTCACAGATCAATGCCCTAATTTTTAGGGTTTTCAATTAATAGGAAATTTTGTAACCTAACCCGATGAAGGCCCTGGATCCCGATTGAATGGTGACTCGGTTAGATTTTGAAACATTGAAACCTTCCTCATGTTTACATATATAAGTTTTTTTTTTTTGTTTTTTTTTTTTTTAGATTTAAAAATATATTAGTAATTTATGAAAATCATTGAGACACATTTGACTTAACTATCTTTTGTCGAACTATAATAAAATTAAGTCTTTTGATTGTTGGTATTAGTGTTTAGATCCTTCTATAGAATTGCATATAATTTTGTTTAATATATTTTTACCTTATACCGTGTAACGCCCACATGGAGGTACGTAATTTAATTTATGCTCTTATACCTTTAGTTGATTTTTGCTAAAGTTATTTTGAAAAAATGTGAAGAAAATGCCTTAAACTTGCATTAAGGGTAAAATGGTCTTTTCACTCAAAACTAGTTGAAATTGTAGAGAGTGAAAAGAGATAGAATTTCATGGAGAATGCAATAAAAATGAGGGCATTATAATAATTGACTAAGGGACATAGATGTAATTTTAGAGAAAGTGCAAGGGCAAAATGGGAACACATGCTTATATTAATTGATATAATGCTTTATTTGAAGAAACCTAACCCATATTCAGCCCTTGTTCACGCCACTTTACCCTATTTTTCTCTCAATTTTCTTCACTAAACTTCAAAGGAAAATCATAGGATTTGGTCTAGATTTTTGGAGATTTTCAATCTTCAAGCATCCTAAGGTAAAATTCTAGCAAAATGAGTATGATTAAACTTTAAAGTTTTAAATTCTTATGGTTTTTATATGATTTAGGTCTAAGAGGAAGAGATTTAGATCAAAAGGGAAGTAATTTCACATATTCAAGGTAAGTAAACCTACTTTGAACCTTAATTTGAGCAAAACATGTGTTGAATGAATTTTTGCATGTTTGTATGTGATGGTATAAGAGAATTATGGGTTGTTTTTTATGTTTATTGATGTATTAATTCTAGCCATGAGAAGTAATGTGTGGTTATGTGATGATTTGGTGAAGTTGTGGAAGATTTTGTGTTGAAATTTTTGAAGTGTAGAGAATTGTTGAAATGGACAGGTTTGATGCTATAATTAGTGAATTTTTGGCTCACAATTTGGTTGAATTAGAGAGTTGTGGAAGTGTAGCCAACAAGGGAGTTGCATGTGCATATGAAGTGTTTGATGAAAATCCAAAGAGAAATTGCATGCATGAGTTGGCTAAACCCTATTGAGGAAAGGGTTAGAGAAAGGCAAGATTTGAAGTTTGTATGTATTTTATTGATATTTTAACCTGTTCTCACAGGGGATAATGGTTAGGAAAGGTTAGGGAGTAAGTGGAGGTAAATAGGTATGGAAAAGCCTTAAAGTATGCATGTTATCAAGGTTGTCCTGTCAAATCCGTGACCTTTTGAGTGATTTTTAGGCATTTTACTTGTCGAACTGGGTTGAGTCATAAACATAAAAGTTGTAGCCCTTTCTCTAAGCTTTAAAATGAGACTAAGATCATAGAAATCCGATGTGTATAACTCGAGATATGCCTTCTTGAATATGATGTGTGCAGAATGACTCTCTCAAGAGTGCTTCCACTTTATTAGTTTATTTGTAGTCTAATAATCCATAATTGATTCCAAGTATGAAAATGATGCTTAAAGGGTTGTGAAGCATATTTGAATGAGTGGTCTTTATGATTATTTAATGATTGTATGAACATATATATTTGATGAAATGATATGTTCATATATGGAAAATGTATGTTTTTAAAGAATGCAAGTGTAGAATTTCCATAGCTTGGAAATTCATGTTGAAATGTGCATAGTATCTCTTTCTATATTATACTATGATATAAGGTTTTTGCGATGGGGAACCCGTGAGTGATAGAGATGCCCACATACACGCCGCCACGAGTGAGTGGCATCAGTAGAGAGATATAGTATTTGTACAGTCCGTGAGTAGTGTATGTACCTAGTAGAGCATACCTACATGCACGCTGCCCCGAGCGAGCGGCCACAACAGAGAGATGCAATACTTGTACAGTCCGTGAGTAGTGCATGTAGATGGGGACTGTACCCACTCACATGGACAGGGTTCCAAATCCATGCATCAACCTAGTTCGATCGGCAAACTGGAAAGAAGAAATAAAAGAAAGAGAATCAGAAAAGAAAAGAAAGAGATTACAACATAAGATAAAGAGAAACAGAAAGGAATGAAGATTATAATAAAAGAATAAAGTGACAAAAAGAAAAATCAGAAAATGAGTAACGGAGGAAACACAGTAGTGTAGTTTGGTTTACTTATTGAGCAATTAGTGCTCACTCCGTTAATTTACTGTTTTGCAGGTACTAGATGATTTGCGATCGGGTGGGACGTCAAGAAATGGTGGAGTTTGGTGGCACTGTTCAAGATTACCTTATATTTACTAAAGTATATCAATGTTATGTGTATATATATGAATTAAAAATTAGAATTTTCGGATTTATATTATATATATATGTTTGTAAAAGTTATATAGTAAATTTTATCTTATATTTCTTATAGAATTACTAGCTATATAATATATTACATACCGGTATAAGAGTATCTCTAAAAGATTCTTTATATGACATAAACTATTTATTATAAAAAGTTTATTCATACAAACAAGAATCCAACAGACTCTTTATTCTTTAAATATAAATTAAATAGTTATTTTGACTTTCTATATCTAGAGAGTCAAATTTCACTTTTTATCATAATTTTAATTAATAAACTTTAAGTTTCTAAGTATTTTGTTTATTAATTCTCTCTTTTATTAAGTTTCGTTTTTGAAAATAAAGAGTATTTTCATTAAATTTAAAGAATTCACTAGATTTGAGTAAAATTTTTATACTTTATATTTAGAAATTAATGAAAATATTTTTTTATTTATGAGAAAGATGATCTTTAAAATAAATAATATTATTGGGGATGCCCTAAGTAACTTAAGGTGATTTTATTATTATCTATTTATATATGGTTATGCAAATTATTGCAATAAAAAATATGTATACAACATGCCATATGGCTACCACGTCGTCAATTTGCCGTCAGCGTGCTGGAGACCGTATCTAGATAAGCTATTTAGGGAAATTAATCTGACAATTAACAAAACAATTAGCCCCAAACAAGGCCTTAATCTCCGCCACGTAAGTAAGTTCAATCATTCTTCGTCACCAGTCGCCGTAATGATATCAGTAATTGACTAAACGATAGTCCTCCTTGCCTTGTTCACCTGCGGGTCACTAATTATTCACCTCGCCCAACCTTTTATTCTTTTTCTTTTCCCCTAATTTTCATTGATTTTGATTTTTCCATCTTTTTTTTTTTTTCCGTCATATTTCTTCACTTTCATTCTCCACAGCCATCGGGTCTCTCTCTGCTTTCACATTCTTCAAAGCTGAAACGGCGCCATTTCAGTTCCCGACTCACTATCTGTCTGACCCTTCTTCTGTCAAAGACGCGTTTCCAAATATTACTGAAGAGCTTAACCAAATTCTCAGGTATTTCTCTTCCCGATGAATTACATAAACTAAAGCTTAATGTTTTTCTTCTTCTTCTTCTTAGTTTTGTTTTAAACTCTTGCATTAGATCAACACCGTCAGATCTATTTTACTATCACATCAAGATCACCGAAACTTAATATTATAATATGAGATTAATTTTTGTTACTCTGCCTTTGACGGTGTAGTTGTATCATCATACACCATTTGCAGTAATTTGTGAACTTCTCTACTACCTTTTTTATGCTCTGACATGTGTTAGTTTTAACGCGGAGATCTTTGTTATAGCTAACAAAAGTGATCCAGAAAGAATAATCCAAAAGAGGTGAGAGTAATTTCTATACTGAAAGTGGTTTTATTTGGTTTGTTTTAAGTTAAACCGGTGTTACTCTTAAATTAGCATACTCGTTTGTAAATTTTGATAGTGACTGCTTATGGCTAGTTCAACTTCTGTAACTAGAGTTGATGATGTGTTGTTTTTGAGATTTGATTTTTGATTTTTATTTATTTATTTATTTTTGTGTTTTGAGATTGTGGACTACAGTCCACAGGTGGGAGGAAGCTGACCGGTTTTGATGAGACTTGGACAAATTAAAGCTTTTAGAGGATGAAAGGAAGCTTTTTTATATTCAGGGGTAAAGAACTCTCTCTTGTTCTCATTGTTCTTGTGTCCATAACCATTTTTCTATGGGCATGGGATAGAACTCCGCTTCTTAGTGCCTTTCTCCCACCCAAAAATCAGTTGCTGCAGCTCTATGCAGGTGCGTCTCTTGTGATTTCTTTTTAAGCCTACTAATTTAACTTTTCGTTGTCTGTTTTTCTATCAATCTAATGTGACCGGTTATTTCATTTAGTTTTAAATTTGAAGGATTTGAAGAGTGCAATTTATAACCGTAGACATCAACATGAGTTCACCTCCTAGTTATAGGAACAGATCATTCTTGATATATTTTTTGCCCAAAAATGATGCTAATTGTAATTTTACGTGAGAATGAGAATAATAACCTGTCTGTAGGAATGAAAAGGCATCCATTATAATTATTTTTAAGAGAAAATTATAGGTAAAAAGTTTAAATTAAGAAACCTAGAAATAATACAATGAATGCAACCATATTTGCATTAGGCTCAACATCCTGTTTTTCTGTCTTTCATATGTGGTTCATATGTTCTATTAGATTCTTCTGTAACAAGATTGCTATCTTTATAATTAGTGAACAAATGTATACTGGCATCTGTAGAAAATGTGACTTTAAGTCATCAAACGAGTCTTTTAGCAGTACAAACTCCTGCTCAAAATAAAGGTAAAATAGTTTTTTCTGTTTCCTATTATCAGGATAAAGAAACTTAATGGTGAGTTACATTATTGTTAAGGTCATCAGATCACATGGATAGAGGATTATCAAGCTCCTTGATTTATTCTTATGAGATTGCTCCACTGAACTGATTCCTTGCCCTTCAATGTCTTATTTTTTTTTGTATTGATTTTGAATGCTGCTGGCATCTTACATTCTCTATTTGTGCACGTATGTAATTGTGGTATATCCAAGAATTAACATTTATCATGGTGGTGTGCAGAAAATCCCTTAAGTGTAGCAGAAGGATTACCAAAACACAAGCAGGGTCCGAAATCAGAGAAAGGTAGCAGTGCCAATAATTCCACTATCCTGAGAGAAGTAAGAGGAGATGACAAACTAACTTTAGGGGAAAAAAATTTGAAACAAAGAGAACAAAGTCTGGATGAAATAACACCAGTAGACTCTACAAAGACAAGCAGGGCAAAAGGTGAAAAGAATCTAGAAAACTTCTGTGTTTTGAGTTCTTTTTCTTGCATGCTTTATGCTTTTGGAAAACTTATTGGAGCTTTATCAAAATTGTTCTTTTGTCAGAAGAAAAAATGGTATTCCTTTGATCATAGGCTATTTAATTGATGAGCAAACTACAAGTTAGGATAGTTGAATATTCTGGCCTGAAAATTCAATATTGACCAGTTTTTTGAAGACAAATATTGAAAATCTTGAATGAGATTTGCCTGTTCGGCTTCTGGTCTTATAAGTACATGTTACATAGTTGTGTTGTCAGTTTTGCTGTTGGTTTTAGCAATATCATAAAATCTTAATTTGTGGATTTCACATGTTAATTTTAGTTGGTTCCTCAGAGAAGTAATGGATAAGCACAAGTTTACTTTCCATATGCTTCTTTGTTCTATCTGTTGATGATGTATAAATGAGTGGTGTATTTTAATGATACTATTTACTGATATTGTCCTTTGTCTTACCTGTACTGCAGCCTGTAATTATGCAAAGGGAAAATGGGTTGTAGATAATACGCGACCTTTATATTCTGGGTTCGGTTGTAAGCAATGGCTATCTGGAATGTGGGCCTGTCGATTGATGCAGCGCACAGACTTTGCTTATGAGAATATACGTTGGCAGCCGAAGGATTGTCAGATGGAAGAATTTGAAGCATCCAAGTTCTTAAGAAGGTGACATTGTAATTCTGTCTTATAACCACTATATGAATTTATCAAGTTAGAATTATGAGTAGTGCTATATTTACAAATTTTTTTAATATCTTCTTCATCCACTAATGTAGCTATTGATATTTCTTAATCCTGTGGACTATAGAATGGTATGTTAAGTGACATGACATTGCTAAACATTAGTTGTTGCGTCAGTTGGTATGAAAAGTTGGTGACAAGTTTTTAAGGGCAGTAATACTCTTTTCATAGTGGAGGAGATGTAGGACAGATACACATGGATCTGGAGTTGTCAAGGTTATTTTGGTGTTTTGGACTTCTATATCATCTTTTTTCAGGATTAGAAATTCTAATCCTTCTCAAAATCAGAAATATAATCCCAATAAAAAATAGAACTCTTATTTGTCCTACATCAAGAGGTCTTAACTATTTATGTCTGCCATATGTTTTGGCTTTTGGTTCACATAATCATCACTCACTGAAGCTGAGGGTTTTGGCTTGGGGATTGGGGGGAATTGATATAGAATGGCCATTATCCTGTGGATGCAGTTTGGAATTGGCTTGAATTGACAATTTAATTTTGTTTTAGGTTTTTCTTCATAAATCTATACCTTAAATGACCTGAAGCTGGGCTTGGTTCCCATTTGTAAATCAGCTTCTTTAATTAAATTGGGAAATATGATCTGAACTGACCATGGAAATAGGCATAGGGAAACATGACCTGAACTGACCATAGAAATATGCCAAAAGCTATCAAGGTAATTGTTGTTTTAGTACTTAGTAGATGTGCTTCCTGCTTGTAAGATATGAATGTGTTCTTCTACAGTTTACCTCTTTACAATCCAAGTGGACCAGGTCCTCCACAGCGAAATTGCTTTATTGATCAATCTCATTTCTTTTCCTAGGATGTCAGGGCTAAGTAATAGTCATGGGAATGGTATTTGTTAACCCAGGGTTGTCTGCTAGGCTGTGAAATATGATACTTGGCACTTTGGTAGGTTTAACTAATCAACCCGAGTTGGATGGCTGCTAGGAGGAGCATGCAAGGATGCTTGAACATCCAACTCTTTTTTTTTAAATTATTTATTTATTTTTTGTGTGGTATTCCACGTACATTTGGGTAAAAGATCATATGTTGGGAATCTCAGCACTTGGGGGACAGGGGTTAGATGTTGTTTATATGATGGCATTTGACCTTGCTTCGTGCAATTACTCCTCTGTTTCTCTCGTGTATTTTTTGTTTGTTCTGATTCATTACCATACATAATGATCAACTAATCCTTTTCTTCGCTTTAATATGTGTAGTTCAGGTTTAAATTTAAATATTTGATAATTGTGTTTATGCATTCCAGGATGCAAGATAAAACTATAGCTTTTATTGGAGATTCTTTGGGTCGACAACAGTTCCAGTCTCTGATGTGCATGGCCACAGGTGGTGAGGAGAGCCCTGACATCAAAGACGTAGGAAAGGAATATGGGCTTGTCAAAGCTCATGGGGCTATTCGCCCTGATGGGTGGGCTTATCGTTTTCCTAGCAGTAACACCACAATCCTGTATTACTGGTCAGCATGTCTCTGTGACCTGGAACCTCTTAATGTCACTAACCCAACCACTGAGTATGCCATGCATCTTGATCGGCCACCAGCATTCTTGCGCCAATATCTTCACAAATTTGATGTACTAGTGCTCAACACAGGGCATCACTGGAATCGAGGTAAGGTTCAGGCTAACCGGTGGGTAATGCATGTGGGGGGTGTGCCGAACACAAATAGGAAGATAGCTGAGATTGCAGGTGCCAAGAACTTCACAATCCACAGTATTGTTAGTTGGGTGAACTCACAGCTGCCTGAACATCCTCGCTTAAAAGCCTTTTATAGGAGCATCTCACCCAGGCATTTTGTTAATGGGGACTGGAACACAGGAGGAAGCTGTGACAATACCACCCCCATGTCTATAGGGAAAGAGGTATTACAAGATGTGTCCAGTGATTATAGTGCTGGTAGTGCGGTGAAGGGGACAGGAGTTAAGCTGTTGGACATAACAGCTATATCCCAACTGAGAGACGAGGGTCACATATCCCGGTACAGTATTAGAGCCTCAAATGGAGGGCAGGACTGCTTGCATTGGTGTCTACCTGGTGTTCCTGATACATGGAATGAAATCCTGTTTGCGCAAATTTAGTCCTGTATTCTAGGCACTCGGTAATGGTAAATTGCTACCTTCTCTTGGCCTCATGTGAAGTCACTATAAAGGCCAAGTTGGTAGATTTAGTTTCTTGAATTCATAGCTTATCTGATCAAATTCTTCTCAGGATCTTTTGATATGGCACTTCACTTCCTGAGAAAGCAGCATATTTACAGCGGAAATTAGTTTTTCTTGGTTGTTACTATGCTAATACTGGAGGAAAGAGCACGGGAAAAAGAGAAAAGATAAAAGAGTAGGATGGTGGATACGGGATAAGTTGTGGATTTGTATTAATATTTTTTATAGCTTGCGTGCACTGTAGCAATTTAATCTCTAATAATATATTTTTCTGATTTCAATAAGTTGCAAGGCTTTGAAATCCAACCACCCTTGGCGTAGAATATATTTTCAATTGGAGTGGGTTACTTTTAGTGAGGGAATTAGACGCCTACCAACCATGTTGCATTAAACATCGTGGATCCGTCACATCATTAAACTGAAAGCCCACGTTCAGGCGTTCAATGAATGTGATGTTTTCCTGTAATAATGCATCTGTAACCCATAACCTTTATCATTTGATCCAAGACATCACCACTTTTGATAACTATTACCGACCTAATATAATCATCCTTATCTTTTTCAAATAATACATGATCACTATTCCTCAACATTATTACCTTTTTAACCTTTTATATTCTAAAATAGTAATCAGTGATTGATATATTATCAACTATTGAATTCATGTTTACCAATACCGTACATTATATACCCACTTTCGTGCTGGCTCTAAATCAAGGACCATTAACAATATTCTATTTGCACTTGCTTTTGCTTCCAACGGATAGTATCCTTTATTCTTATTTATCAAATTCAAATCCTCTGTTCATGGGCACGTGGCTTCATCGAAAACGTTAAAATAACATTCCGTTGAGCAGGAACAAATCACCTGGACCGTGCACCATCTACAACTTTAGATCACAACGGTCCATCACCCAACTGTCAAAGCCGGCACTTTGTAATCATAGACGTCTTCAATCTTCATCACTCTGATGACTCAGCTGTATCCTAACGGCTTTGGACATCCTGTCGCTTTCTCCGAAAGCTTCACTATCCAAGACAATAATAAATAAATAAAAAAACCCAAGTTTTCTGTTTAATAGCTGTAAGAACTAAGAAATACCAACTCAGAAGTGATTCTTCTTCTTCTATTCTTTCTTTCCATTAATCTAAAAGCCCAAAAACTTATATAAAATTCATTTTTTGGGGAAATACTTTGAATTGATTTCAATGGCCAATGATTTTGCGACTGCGGTGGAGGATGGGCTTAAACTCTCGAAGCGACTATACTTCGGGAAGGACCGAGCCGTGTCTCCGCCGAGGGTTCCGACGTCGATGGAGAAACCAGGGTCGGTCAACATGTACATGCCGAAGGCGCCGATGTTGTACGCGGTGATACCCGACCCGAAGATCGTGGACAATCCGGATATACCGAGCTACCAGCCGCACGTGCATGGCAGGTGCGATCCTCCGGCGCTGATTCCGTTACAAATGAACGGCGTCGAGTTGGATGTGGATTGTTATCTGGATACGGCTTTTGTTCGGGTTTCCGGATCCTGGAGAGTCCATTGTGTTATGGGCAGTAAGAGCTGCGATTGTCGCATTGCTATCCCTATGGGCGAGGAGGTAGACTTTATGATAATAAAGAAAATGAATTTGGATTTGGATTTGGATTTGTTTAATTTTTGTTTTGTTTTATTGTCAACAAGACAAGTAATATATTATTTGGCTAACAGGGTTCAATCTTAGGTGTTGAGGTAGAGGTTTCTAGTAAATCATATTGTACTCGTTTGATTGCATTGGAAGACAAGGAGGGTGTGGAAAAGGCAGCCAGGCCTGAGAATGGTGGCTTTTTGAAGCCTCACATTTTCACCTTAACAATACCACAGGTAATTACTACTCGGTTTGGTAAGCTAAATTTTACTTATTTTAGGTTTGTTTTTCTAACTTTGATTAGTTTATTACATTTTCAGATTGATGGGGGTTCCTTTCTTTCAGTAAAACTTCATTGGTCCCAGAAATTGTCTTACTGTGATGGAGAATTTTCTTTAAATGTACCTTTTAAGTTTCCTGAGTATGTCACTCCTGCTATAAAGAAGATTCCAAAAAAAGAAAAGATACTGTTAAATGTAAATGCTGGTACTGGAACTGAGATTTTGTGCAAGACAACTAGTCATCCTTTGAAGGTACATGTTTGTTTAGTGTTGTCCTGAATTTGTTTTGATTTTAACTATCTTTCCAAGAGTTAATTTTTTTCTTCAACTTTCCAGCAATTAAGGCGTGAAGCAGGAAAGCTTGGTTTTTCTTATGAATCAGAAGTGCTTAAATGGTCAAGTAATGACTTCAGTTTCTCATACACTGTAAGACTTATCAATTTTTACTCTCATTCTAAAATTTATACAGTACACGAGTCATCATTTAAGTATGGTTTATGGAACTATAGTGTACTAGAGTTAGATAGATAACTTTGAGAGATTACCTTTTATTTTTATGTGTATGATACCTTAGTCACTATATCGTGTCTACTTGATATATTAGGTTTCTCCAAGTCATATGGTTGGTGGCATCCTGTTGCAGTCTCCACCTCTGCACGATGTTGATCAAAGAGAGATGTTCAGCGTCTATTTTTATCCAGGAAGCCAGCAAAGTAGAAAGGTAATTTTTTAGAACTTGTTTAGTCTGATAAGCAGTTATTCTATTTATTTGTTTTCTTATGATTTGTTTCTGTTACACCTTTCCTCATCTTCTTATTCAATAGGTGTTCAGAAAGGATATAATATTTATGGTTGATATAAGTGGAAGTATGCAAGGAAAACCACTTGAGGATACAAAGAATGCGTTGTCTGCTGCCCTCGCTAAGCTTGATCCAAAAGATTCGTTTAACATTATAGCTTTTAGTGGAGAGACATATCTATTTTCAACATCAATGGAGTTGGCTACGAAGGAGGCAGTTGAAAGGGCAACTCAGTGGATTGGAGTAAATCTGATTGCAGAGGGGAGTACAGATATACTTCTTCCCCTAACTAAGGTCTCTTTTCATTCAGATTTAGTTTTAGTTGAAGTCCTGATCTAGAGTTTGCCAGTTTTAACTTCTGATCTTTCATACCCCAGTGTAAATCATGCTGTACCTTGTTCATTTATTAGTATACTATACATATACCCACTAAAATTATTAAAAATAAAAAAGTGCTATAGCCTTGTAAAAGTTATGTTGTTACTTGATAAGACCAAAAATTTTTAGATACTTGGCACTGACAATCTACATGCTGTGATGGTTCCGCTCTCCATGGTCATATTGCATATTTGTATGTTTTGAAAATATTTTAATGTTGCTTATACTGTTTCAAGTAGATATAATCTTTTGGTATTAACTTTGATTCAAAGTTATGGGTGTGCGGTTCCATTTTTCTTTCAGGCTGTAGATATGCTATGTAATACTCGTGGTTCAATTCCTACCATCTTCCTTGTTACTGATGGGGCTGTTGAAAATGAGAGACACATTTGTGATATGATGAAAAGTCGCCTAACAAATGGAGGGCCAATTTGTCCACGTATATACACTTTTGGAATTGGTAATGCTTTCTGCTAATTTCTACCTTTTATTGGCATGCTAATTTCTCCAAAGCCTTTCTTTTTTCTACTCCATGAAGGAGTAAAAAGGAGGGCTATATGCCACTGGTAATTTTGTTAATTATTTTTGACAAATTCATATCATTTGAAACATATGCTCTCCCTTGCTAGTTTTCCATGACATTAGTTGCTAGCTTTGAAGGACATTTGTGTAATGATGTATACTCGTTTTTGTATCTGGACTTGTATCAAACAGTGTATGATATGTATAGAGCACCTAAAATTAACTTATTGTGTGAAAATTTTCAGGTGTATACTGTAACCATTATTTCCTACATATGCTTGCAATGATTAGCAGAGGGCACTATGGCGCGGCATATGATATAGGTCAGTTCTGCACTTCAAAGTTGTCAAATATATATATATATATATATATATATATTGGGAATTGGTTGGAATGAGTTCTTATCTATTAATGGCGTTTTGGTTCACCCAACCATATATATATTTATATTTGGTCTCAGAGCTGTCAGCGGCATGCAAGGTTGTTTGAGTGATATGAAACTTTGTTGTCGGACCTATGCATGATCTAATTCTTATTTAACCGTTTGAACTTTATGAGATGCTTGGTTATGTTTTAGAACATGTTACAGGTCTACAAAATCTTGAGTGGGTCACTCCTGATTGTTAGATTTCATTTCTTTAGTTGATATCCGTATTTACAATATAATATGGGATTCCCTCTGGTTTTAACTCATGAATCCTTAAGGATGTTAAACTTGGTGCTGCTATACATTGATATAGATTCAATAACCAATTGAGTAATTGAGCTTTTTGCCCTTAGGTTTGCAGCTATGCGGCTATGCCAATGGCTTTTTATTATTAAGTATTAACATTCAAAATTATATTATCAGTTGTTTGTACAGCTCTTAGATAACTATAATTTTGTGAAAACTTTGGCTTTTCTTTCGTATTGCTGATCATCTACCTTTTATGATTTTTCTGATTGTCAGATTCAGTGGAGCTGGGTTTGCAAAAATTATTCACCAAAGGTTTATCAATGGTTCTTGCAAATATAACCATTGACATGTTAAAAGATCTTGATGAGTTTGAGGTATGCTTCTTTTATTTAGGTTTTGCTTAGCATTTTTAGATATTTTTGTTGTCTCTTATTCTTCTATTTTTCTTTTCATATCACTAATAGATTCCTCTGTTGAGATTTTACCGTGTCATTTGGTGTGATTCCAGTTATTTTCACTTGCTTGCAGTTGTAATAGTTTATCGTTTCTCATATTGATCATGTTAGCGATAGTATATTATATTTGCACCTATGTGTAATGGTTTTATAATTTTCAAACATTGAGATTGTCTATCTTTACTCTATGACACATTATGACACATGAGGTGATACATATTATGGACATTGGTTTAATGTGTATGCTATTAATTCAGAAAAATTTTCATTAGCTTCTTTTGAATTTAAGCGAAAACGTCAGAATATTTTAACACCTCCTCCTAAATGATAAAATCATCATATATCCCTCTTAAAACTATTGGAGTTTTTCGGAAGTTTCATAAAACTTATCCAAAATGTCTCTGGTAGGGAGGTCTTTTCCTGTTTCAAAACCAGATGGGTTTGTATGTAACAGTTTTATTGAATTTAGTTTCGTTATTTGGCACATTCCATACTCATGAAGGCTTTTTACAATTTTTTTTTTTATAGGTGTACCCTTCTCGTATTCCAGACTGTACATCAGAAACCCCATTGACCATATCTGGGAGGTACCAGGGAAATTTTCCTGATAATATTAAAGCTAAAGGTCTCTTGGGAGATTTGAGTGATTTTGTCATGGAATTGAAGGCACAACATGCAAAGGACATACCTCTTGACAGAGTAAGGCACTGACTTGTTACATTTAGTCATTTATCCAAGTTGTTGATATCATGCCATGTGGTGCCCCTCTAGAGTTTCTTTTTCTCTTTTTTTTTTTTTTCCTTTTTTGGTGGCTGCAAAGATGTAATGTAACGTGCTCTTGATATGTATCTTTGATTCTCTCACAATGACTTTTACCTGCTATGGGTATCAAGCTAAGGCTTACTGTATGGTTGTGATCCATATCAGAGAGTACACCTTTAAATCCTGTATCTATTAGCTCCCAGGGTTATGATTCAATATGTTGTCTTTATTACAAACAAATTTTGATGTAGGAGAAGGAGAGAATTAAGAGAGACAAAGAGAAGAAGAGAGCTAAGAAAGAAAATTTAGAAGAGAATAGAAAGAATTTACGTGAGGGAAAATACAATATATTTATTAATCATCAAAGTGTGAATAATAAATTAGATCTAAGGCCTTTTTATAGGCTTGAAATCATACTCCTTGAATAAGAAATTACTTTCCAAATAGAATAAGAAAACCTAATGTAAAAGTATAATAAAATAAATTAAAATGCGAAAATAACTAGAATTCTAGAATCTAATATATATATATATATTCGTCAATCCTCTTTTCAATTGGCTTAGTTCATCTTTTCACATGATCCCTATATTAGCTTATGCATAATGCCTCATAAATGTTTCATGTAGAATCTCTATAACTTTGCGACCTTAGTTCGAGTAAATTTAAAATTTTCCCCTTCTGCATCAGGTATTTGCAAAGCAACAAATTGATTTACTCACGGCTCAAGCATGGTTTTCAGAAGATAAACAGCTGGAGGAGAAGGTCTGTTGCATTCCAATTTCTTATTTTACTAGGTTTATATTTTTCTCATTCTGTGGATTCCATTGAATACGAGAAATGGGAACAAAGTGTATTTTCTTTTTGAAGTTTATGGAATGAAAAAAAATCAAATGACATCTGTCTTCATCAGGTTCCAAAGGAATTTATAATAAAGTTCTATCCTAAGCAGAAATCAACTTTTTTCCCAAAATCTTTTTGGTTATTGATTTCTGGTCTGATGTTCCCGGAATTTATTTGAAATTTTTTTTGCTATGAGTAAGTGGACCATCTGGAGGGTTGTGGATCTGGCTGCGTGAGCCTTTTCACTAGCTGCATTAACTGGAAGGCTTCCACATATTGTAACCTAGTATACATTTTTTTGGAAAAAGGACTTGATGTTGATATTCCCTTTCTATTGGCAGGTTGCTAAAATGAGTGTACAGACTGGCGTAATTTCCGAGTATACCTCTATGATCATACTGGAGACTGATGAGGGAAAGAGAACAGAATCACCAAGCATAAAGAAGGTAAACATTGATGTTAAATTTTGCTGAGACGATGCTGTGTGTGTCTTAGTAACTGAAGCTGCATCCTTTGACTTACATTTGTTTTCTTCAGCTCTGATTTTGTAGTATTTCATCAAAGTATAAAAAAGCAAATTAACAAAAAAAAAAACTCGTATAATTCTTATGTGGAGCGATCTAATAACTAAGAATGGTTGTTGAAATTGACCAAGTATAAAACTTTTTTGGTAACTTTATGAATCACTTTGTTTCTTCTTTATCACTTTATATCCCATTTATCCTGCACTTTCCCTTCAAATGGTAAAAGGGCACTTGGATCCTTCTAGCTGGATCAATTGCCGCTTGCAAATTATTTTCTTGTTTAAATCAAAATTTTGGAATTTTTAGGAGCCATGTGGTACAATTTATTGGATCCTTTTTTTGTTTTTTGGAATCCAAAAACAAGCAAGAGTATTTTGGCAGTGAGTATTCAGAAAACGTTTTTGGAAAATTTTCAACTTTTACTAAGGAAACCAAGGACTTCATTTTTGAAATTTTTGTTTTTCCCAAATCGAAGTCTTTACAAAGAAAATTATTGGTATTTCTGTTTCTAAATACCATATTAGACCAGAGTTTTCTTATCAGAAGATGACATTAGACATGCTCTTGAATCTTCAAATACAAAATCCATTTTTCGGATTTATTGTTGAATGAAGCATTTGAAAACAATTCCAATAAGCGTTGCATCATCCATTCTTCTCATTGTGCCTGGTTCATAATAGTACAAGTGTTTTTTATCCCTATAAACCACGTTGTTCTAATAACAGTTCCACTGAAAATTAAATTAAACAGGAATCAGAGGGAAGTGGTAGTCAAAAGATAGTAGATTCTGGAGCCTCAAAAACAATATCTCTACAGAGCCTCGGCATCGGCTTTGGTGACTTGATTGCAACAACTGAAAACATTCCTCCAGGGGCTGAAGAAGCAAAATTACCAGAGGTTGCGGAAATATTTGTGAAGGTGGCATCCAATTGTTGCAGCAGTATGGCCAACAAGTGCTGTTGCATGTGTTGCATCCAGTGCTGTTCTAATCTAAACGACCGATTTGTAATTCTCTTGACACAAGTCTGCACTGCCCTAGCATGTTTTGGCTGCCTTGAGTGTTGTTCAATATGTTGCTCTGGATCCGATGGAAGATGAAACTGAAGCTAAAAGTTTCCTCTTAATCAACTGTATGCTAGTTCTTTAACGGTACAGAAATGATAATTATTTACAGCATCATGTGTATATTACCCAACTTAACAGTCGTAGCAGAGAACCTCTGCGTGTTGAAAATCTATAGCATCTCAATGATATAGTTTTATTAGATGGTTAGTTTTGCAAGCATAGTTTTATTAGATGGTAGCGAAATGACAATTGGCTTTCTTTGTCTCTCTTGCCTCTCAGATAAGTAATGCAGTTGGGGGCCAAAAGGTGCAACTGATATTTGCAGCTCGAAATAAGACCTTATCCTATAAAATAGATGATACATGATACTTGAATCTTATAGAGAGCCACCTGAATACCTCTATTTGTTTTACTTTCTGCATAAAAGCGATTATGTTGTCTTCAAGCTTCGAACCAAGATGTTGCAATATAAATAACCGAACTCATTTTCATGGCAATAAATTTACAATATAGTTACCAGTAGTATACAGTGCTGCTCAACTTAGCCAGCAATAATTTTTGTCAGTAAACCCACTTCCCACAACAAATCACAAATCCTTCGCATTAAGAATTACTATTGAATGGTTGGCCAAACCTAAATACATAATCATGAGTTCAGAACCATTAAAATCATGCAAATGTGACAGTTCATCTCCATCAGAGTCTTAACTAATTATTTTTCTCTAAACTCAAGCAAAATTTTTGGTTCCAGTTAGATTTTCTTCTACATGTTCCTCAACTTTGAACTCCCACTCTCCTTCCTTGTCATCTGAACTCAACGATTTAGAATGGAGCTTCTCTTGGATTTTTGTCACACCCTTCTCCACAGGTCCCATGGCTTGATTTATGGTCAACACAACATCTTCGACAACCTGATTATTAATAAAATTCAATATCAAGTATGAAATCTTCAAGAACATATGTTGAATATATCATTTAGAATATTAGTGAGAACTTACTCGTTGGCCACCTTCAACAACTATGTCTTGAACACTTTCACTGATGCTTGTTCCAGGTGCCTCAATTTGAATTTTAGTTTTCTCAAGCATGGCTGGTTTCTTGTCTTTCTCCTCTAACTTTAGTCTTTCTTCGGTTCTTCTGGTAGTTAATTTTCCAGGCTCAGGAGCTGGAAGATAATGATAGAATTCGGCCGAAAAGACAAACATATGAGCAACTGCTGCAATGGCCATCTGCAATGTCATAGATATCTGTACAGTCATGGCTATAGAAAGAAGAAGAATCACATCCATGCAGAACTAAATTCACAAAAGATTATTCTTAAGAATATTGGGGCATATGTAATACGTCAGCTACTTGAAATATTAGGGTACTATATAATAACATAAGACATCTCAAAGAAAAGTGAATTTTCAAACTTCAGAAAATTATGCAACTTACTTCAATGCAAATTAAAAAATCCTGCAATCCGTTTTTCAGTTTTCCTTTGTTGGGAAGAACTCCTAATGCACATAATAGCGCAATACCCACACCCTGCCACCAAGTTGCAAACACAATAGCCTTGAAGCTTATGAACTTTGCTAGTGGCTTTATTGGCCGAAGTCTTTCATGAGTTACATTGTAGAAGTTGACAAGGCAATATAATGCCCACATCTGGCTGAAGTTCAGCACTACTGCAATGTATGGATACCTGCATGAGATGACAATTTAATGGTTGGAGTGGAGAAATAAAGCAGAAGAACATTGTTTACTGTCTTGTAACAAATATTCAGAATTCATGATAGAAAATGATAAAATGAAGACAAATTTCTGCTTCCAAACCATGTGCCACATGTTTTTGTTTTTTTACGTACAAGTATAGGCACCAAATGTGATACATTTATCTTCAAATTTGAAACTAACAATGAAGGTGATACTATTTTTACAAAAAATATCAAAAAATTTCGGAAAAAATTCCTTGGTAAAGACAAGATAACACAACTGATAGGAAAGATCACTTTATTATCTGAGCTCTATGCTCTAATAAAGCGAGACTGGGTTGCACATACCCACAGTACCACTTGAATTCCCCATCACCATAAACACCACAGAGCTCCAACACTAATGCCAAGAATGCACAAAGTGTCTTCAGAATCATCTGAGTTAACAACAGATATCAGGACTCAACCAGACCCCAATCAAATGGAACAACAAAAAAGTTAGTGGCTTACATACTGTACGAGACCTAACTTTTGTATTGAGAATAGATCTTTTCCAAGATCACATGGTCGGAAGAAGAAGTTACTGAACCACCCTTTTTGCGAAACTTGATTCTCTTCAGCTAATAATGGCTTACTGAGCTGCTTTCTTGATTTACTTTCAAGGAATTCTATGGTTCTTCTTTCTCCACCTAGATTAATATTTCGATCAAACTTAAATTCATGAAGTCAATCTTGGTTAACAAATGTCATAGAAGTTGATGTGCTGGACAAGTTCATAGAGATACTTTGAGCCATATACAGCAAGGGATATAATTCCGTTTGATGAGCAAACGTTTTATCAAGTTCAGTGTTTCTCATCCATCAAATTCCATTTAAAGTGCTTCAATTTGTTAATTAGTAAAAGACATTGACATTATAAAGCTACATTAGATAGTTTAGCACCGTCAAATCAAAGTGGAGAGAATAAGTAAACATTCTTCAAGACAAACTAAAAGAGTATAGCTTACCTAGACAAGCAATCAAATAGCTTCCGAAAGAATACAGGGCAAATGCTTCATAGCAATTTCTTAAAATGTCGCATGCAAGAGAGAACCTCGGTTTCCACAGTGATAAAATCTGGGGAACCAATAAACAAATATCATTATCATGTATGTATGACCAAAAAGTCATCAAAATTAGTAGCAAGAACAGGACATGCAATCAAGCATCAGCTATCAGTTTCCTTTTCTCTGTGACAAAAGATGTTTGTGCTAATTCCGTACAAGAGGCTACAGTGATAATTAAAGGATAGAAATTGCGAACTCATGCATTCCCAAGTTTTTTTCCAGATTAAATTGTGCCATAAATTAAGCTTTTGTTTAGACGCTTATAGCAAAATATATTAGTTTCTAATTTCTTCTAAACATGTAAGGCAGCTGAAGGCATAAGTAGGTACATAATGGTACCAATTGTTCCACCTCAACATTTGATCAAATATCAGACAGTAGAATTGTTTTGGGACATGACACAATGCAAGTTTGATGTAGGTGAAATAGTATACTGTCTAAGTTGCCAAATTATTTGCAATTTAAAAGGCCTTGATCATGGAAAGATAATCTTTCCTTTGGATTAGTGGTAAAGCAACCATAAAAAGAAGTTACAAACAGGTTTTCAGAAAGAATCTTACTGACTCACTAGCATAGACAGGAACGATGAACAAAACCGCTACTATCCATTTTTGTTCCTGTCAAAAGAAATAGATCATTTCAATACTGGGTAGTGAGTAAAAATCCCAGTAAAAACTGCAAATAGACATAACGCTGCATTCCCTTAATACTTGGGCAATTATCAATACTACAAATAAATACGGATATCCCCAAAAATTCCTCAAAACTAATAGAACCCAGTAAACACATATTTTATCTATCTCTACAATTGAAGCTGACACAGAATGGATTTGTTTATTTGCATCTAAAATTCTAATATATGAGAGAAAAATGAAAAGAAAAAAAAAGTTAGTAAAAGTGAAATGAACTAACAGCAGGATTGGTGTATGATCTGAGATGTTGAAGAATGAGAAAAAGAGAGAGAATAACAGCTGCAAGAGCAAAACATCCACCAATAATAACAGCCGGTTGGTGAAGATTTCTGTATGTGTTTTCTTCATGGACTAATACTACATTACTTGTTGCCATCATCCACTACTCTCAACACAGCACTCCAAATAAACACATCAACAATCTTCATTGTTCTTTGATTCCATGTACAAAATTAAATTAAACCAGTAAATTCATAGATTTAGGAGTAAGATAGAAAGGTACATTAAATCACGTAAATTTAATAAACAAATTAAACAGAAGTGTGAGGTTGGATTGTGGATGAGATAATGAGTGCCACCTCTGTTGATTCCTAGGAGTTGGAATTTATATATGTTGCATACGAGGTTGACACGTTCAATTATGGTTTACTTACTCGTTCAGAGAATGACATGTTGCACTTGCGCGGGAGGACGAGGATCTTCGAGTTTTAGTTGGATATCTTTAATTTATGAAAATCACACATTCCACCCCTCAATTTTTCACATTCTTATATAACCCACGCATGCAGTTTATTTTTTCTTTTCTTTTATTCTTATTTCAATGATAATATGTCATTTATAATCTTCATATTTCTATTTAGGTTACCTTTGAATTTATAATTGTTGATGCCTGAAATAATATTGGATAATACAAAGAAACGTAAAAAGTTTCCCGTAGTAAGACACGTATTGTAATTTTATATTTAATTCTTATAATATTTTACCAATAAATTTCAATATATTAATACAAATCATATTTTTTTGTATTCAGAACTTTAAGTGCATATATATATATATATATAGAGTCTTGAAGTTCTTGTTAGAAAGAGGACTCTTAATTCAGAAGGTAGGAGGTTTAGAAGAAAAAAAAAATGGATTTGACATTGAAATTAATTACTTGTTAGTTTGTATAAAAAAGTGTCTTTCTTTAATTTTCTCCTGAATTATAAAGTTGGTACGTAATAATCTAGGGCCCTACCTATAAAACATTGTTCATTTAGGACAGAGTCTTCACAGTTTTGCCTTCGAGCTTCATAGCTTCATAACTGAAAACACATTTTACAAATTAAGGGATAACCAAGCAGTAGTGGACCCTAGATTTTTTAACGGGATGCCTCTACGGCTGCATTATTGTTTGTCAAATAATTAGTAAAAATTTCTAAAAAATCGAACTTTAAACAAAGGAAATAACATAATATCAAGAACCTGAAATGAAACACAAGAAAATTTTTATGTGAAAAAACCAATTTAATGTGAAAAGAGCAAAAAACCACGGGAATTTAACGCTCTACTTAAATCCAATATAATCAAAAGAGTTTACAGCAACCACAATTCACCAAAAATATTCTACACAAATTTCTTATTTCTCCTCTTTTTTTCTTTTAATTTTAATTTTTCTTTTTGGCTTCTAAAGATTATAATATATATTTTCATGACTTTGATCAGACCTAGTCTAAGCTAAAGTCATACAAGAGTTAAATAAAGTCAACTTTGCGTTGACTTTTAATATGAATTAATAAAAAAAAAAGGAATTTTATTGGTATAAACATAGATAATAACTCAAATTTTTTTAATAATTTTTAGAAGTTAAATAGTGACATTTGAAATGTAAGAAAGTGATGGATGAAAGGTGAAGAATAACGCCTAGTAAAATATATTTAAGGTTTAATTTGGGAAAACAGAAACATTCTTAGACACAAAACACAAAATAAACTCACAAGATCTATGCTTTTTTCTATCAAATTAGAATAAAAAGCCTCCAAAAAACAAGCATAATTCAACCCTAAAATAAACTAAATTGAAATGAGTAATACACATACCTAAAACTGATAAAACAAAAACTGGAACTAATTGTGGCACCTTGAGTAGTGAAAGCTTCAACAATTTTAGTCTTCAAAAGTTTTAAGAGCGAATAGCATGAGAAAAAGAAAGAGAGAATGAGAGTAAATAATTTTGGGGATAAAATCATAAAAAGCAGGTGGAGTCATGGAGAAGAGTGGAAAGAGTTTTAAACTTTTAATATGATATGGGTTTGGAATATATATATAAAAGCAGGTGGAGTCGTGGAGAAGAGTGGAAAGAGTTTTAAACTTTTAATATGATATGGGTCTGGAATATATATATATACATATATAGTACGTTTTTGGTAAGTTTGGATATATGTATAATAATTCTTATTTTAAAAAAAATCTGAAGGCAGGTCTAGATATATATATTAATAGCAATTTTTTGTGAACCTATATAAGTATTTTTTTTTTTAAAAAAAAAAAAAAATGTGAGGGTAGGCCCAAAGTTGGGTCCGCTCCTATAGCCAAGGTTATATACCTTTGGCCCATGTTCTGCCCCATCGATATAGAACTCTTGTCAAGTCATGACATAATATACATTTTTTTTTTAATTATTTACTAACATCTACTATCTATCACTTGAATGAGATATTGACATATATATGAATACTAAAAAGGGTTAAAGATGATAATTAGGACAAAAATCACATTAGGCATAAGATAAATAATAACCAATACTTTATGAATCAAAATCAAGTTTAATATCTGAACAGTTTCGTGCAAAACTTAAATATTATGAAAATTAAAATCATATCTTTTTTTTTTTTTTTTATGACCGGGGGTGTTTGGGCCAGCTTACACGTATATCAACTAATCCCTAAGATATTAAAACTATTGACTGGATAAGAGTTTTAGTGGTTACCCCTATTAGCAATCGAGGAGAGACTCGAACTCATAACATCTTGAATAATACGCCGAATAGTTCCTATCGAACCAGTCATTCACCCAAAGATAGTTAAATCATATCCTTTTTCCCTTTGGCTTTGATGCTTGAAGTAGTACTAGTATACTGGCTAGTGTGTGTGAATTATGTAGACGCAAAAATCTACCTGTTCGGAAAAGGGGGTCTGATCCCGTGAGGTTGAGGCCACTAGCGATCCGCTGCACCTGTACACGTAGAGAAACAAGAGTGAAGCGAACAGAAAACACCGGGGTGGTGTTTGCCGTAGGCACTCCGACGCTCAAGTCAGCAAGGCTAAAAGAGGCTAGTGTAGTGAGGGCTAGGGAGTAGAGAGGTTACTGGAAGTCTAGTCGGGGACTGTGACTACGGCAGTGATGTGGAGCTCTCAAGTCAGAGCTTCGGGTGTGAAGGTGTAATCTAATCTCTCTTGTGAGAAGGTTGGCCTCTGTTTATATAGTGACTGTCTAGTCTCCCAATCCTGGTAGAAGTAGGAGTCCTAGTGCGATTATGATACAACCCTAGAGGAGTTAGGGCGGTGGTGAGCTGTCTTACTAGCGTCCGGATAGGAGAATAAAAAACTTCAAGTAGGAAAGTGATCTGAACAGGAAGGTGACCTCGAATAAGAGAGTGATCAGGAATAGGAAAGTGATATGTGGGGGCCGTGGGCTCTGGATTCGTTCGAGGATCCAGGGAGTGAACTGGGATTAGGAGGCTTGTGCTCGGATGGTTTGGGCAGGCTGTATCTTGTATCAAATGGGCCTAATCCGGATTGGGTCGCATCGGGATTTGGGCCTGGTCTCTTCCACACTATCAGGCTTGTTTTCCTATTTGGGTCAAAGACAATTTTTGGCCCTAACAGTTTGTCCCCCACTCTCTGAGTTAAGAGTTTCTTAAGTCGAAGAGTAAAAAATGATTCAGGCGTGGTCGGTCATCCTTCCTGGACGACCTATTGTTGGCGCGACTGATCCGATTATTGCAAGTGATTCTTGGTCGGGGGTCGTCCGGTACCCATTATCAATCTGCAGTATGCCCTCATCGCGAGGTGGTATGCCTGGTCAGTATGGAAGGTCGAAGGAATTGAGACAACGAGGCTTCTGGGCTTGCATGCTCTTTCGGTATGTCCTATCGACCGAAGAGGTGAAGTATCATCTTATAACCGGGGTGTCAATTCGGTATGTCGGGTCGAATGAGTTAGGGACTATATTGAACTAAGGGTTTGCTCGGTCGGAGTACTCGGGTGGTCAAGGGTATGTAATGTGCGAGCTTTGACCATTGGTTGCCCACTCGTCTGCTACGGAAGAATGAATGGGTGGGGCCCCTACCTTGTTCATCCAGAGAGAGCTTGAACCGGGCCGTTCCAAGTTGATCGACCAGTCGAGAGGGCCTACTGAGCTTGTGAATCATGGGGGCATGTTGAGTCCACTAACAGTCGTGTGCTGACTCGGTAGGGATGTCAGGGCGGTCGATCCAGGCTTTCGTACGTCGTTGCAGTTCCCTAGGTGCCGTGGATCTTTGCCACGCGTACGGTGATGATGATCCTTTCATTTTGGAAGCGGGAAAATGAAACGTCGCTCTGACGGTGGATCAATCGCAGGTTGCCACATGTTTGCTTCTGTCAGAGTTTCTTTATAAAACGCAAGGGCGGTCTGTTCGTCTTTCTTCCTTGCATTTTTCATTTTCCATTCTCATTTGAAACGAAAATTTTCTTCTTTCTTTCTTTTTAATGTTTCAGTTTCTTCATGCAACGGCGGCTTCCTTTCTATAGTCTGTCATTTTACGGTAAGTGTTCTCTTCTTTGGATTAATTCTTTGGTTTTTGTTTGCTGAATTTTTTGGAGAATAGGACGAAATTTGTGTTGTTTCGATTGGTTTTGAGGTGTTTTGGAGTTTTGGTTTTCTGGAATAGGCTTGAACTTTTGGATTTTTGGTGAGTTTTCGGCGGTTTTCCCCAGTTTTTTGGTATTTTCTGGAATTTTGGATGGAAAAAAGGGAGGCGAAGTCGTGTTACGTAGCACCTTGATTCGGCTCGGTCGGTATGTCTAGCCGAATCAAGCGACTAAGGTGGATCTAGGTTATAAGTGGCAGGTAAGTGGGATAGATAGGTCATTTGATTGGTCCGACCGAGTGTGAGTGGATCATGAGAAGGATGGACTCGAGTAAGGGATCAGTCATCCATACCGAATGGGTGGATCGGTGAGTGAGTGCTTGGACTGGTGAGTCGGTGGGCATGGGCGAGTAGACTCACAGGGGTGAGCTTGAAGGTAGGTAGGTTGGTCTTTTGGGGCGAGCGAGGAAAGACTGTTGACTCTGGATTGGGTCAGTCGGCAGAGAGGGTAGATCGGAGCTTAGGCTTGTGAGAGTTGACAGTTTGTTGACGTTGAC